AACACAACGTGGTGCGATCATCCCCCTTGCGCGGAGTGAGGGTTCTCGACCCCGCACAACATGACCTATTCGACCACCATTATGGTTACCGCCGGAAAAAAAACAGAGGTAAAAACAAAACCGGTACGCTGGTTGCCGAGTTCACGAAGTGAATTGGCTTGTGTTACAACGTCTTTGCCAAGCGACGAAAACCCAATCCCGATGGCGAACACCGAGGGGCGGGCTTGTTCTACAACGTCGTTGCCAAGCGACGAAACTCAACCCCGATGGCAAATACCGAGGGGAGGGAGGGTAATCATAGTCGTGCATGCCGTAGTCGTTAGACCATTGACCTTGCATCCCTACAAAGCCGGGACGGAGCACGCCGGGTTCTCACCGGACCAGGCTCTCACATCACCAAGCGCGAAGTGCCGTGAGATATTCGGCGGGTCGCATGAAGGGTGCGCTGCATCTTGCTACGAGTGTTCGGCATCTTGTGCTTATTTCCTTGCGTACGGATGACAGCTGCGTATGACATTATTTATTTTCTGGTGCTCTCACTTCCACAGACAGTTGTAAGCACTGCGTAACTGCCTCGAGGGTGCTTGACCATTTTAACACGGCTTGGTGCGATCATTCCCCTTGAGCGGAGTGAGGGTTTTCGACCCCGCACAACATGATCTACTCGACCACCATTATGACTACCGCCCAAAAAAACACCAGAGGTAAAAAGAAAATGAACGGCAACCTGGTTGCCGAGTTCACGAAGTGAATTGGCTTGTTTTACAACGTCGTTGCCAAGCGACGAAAACCCAATCCCGATGGCGAACACCGAGGGGCGGGGGGAGGGGGGGGGCGGAATTCGCCGAAGAGATCCGAACCGCATGCGGTGTCCACAAGCAGCCATTAATCCGCATGAGCGGTGGAACTTGGCCCCCGGTTCGGTACACACCTCACCCTCCTCAGGTTTCGATATCCGTCTAGAACTGTTAGGTGAACACCGGTCAACCGAATATTTTTCGCCAAAGCCGCACGAACCCGCAGATCTATTTGATCAACATACCTGATGGACAGAGCTCCTTCCAACGCATTGTCGGGGTTAACGACCGTGATCTTTCTTTTCGCCAATTTTTCAACCGCCTCCTGCCATTTGGTCCTGAGGTCCTCAGCCGTGATCCCGGCATACACCTGTGCCTCGGCCCCTGCCGTTTTCGCCGTCTCTCCTCCGCCATGGCTAGCTGCGCTCTGCGCTACCATCTCCACGGGATCTTTGGACAAGTATCGCCGAGGGTCACATGTAAGAATCCCGCCATGTCGTCAGCCCTCGGCGCACGTAGCAAACCCGATGCGGGGGAGTGCATCCATGTACATATGAGATGCAAGCCCCACTTCGGAAGTTTGATGACTGGCCTCCCGGGGTCCGATGCACATGATCGATGTTATCACGGTAGGACTGGTTTCCGTATAAAACATCGCATGTGAGGGCAATGTGTCTCTTGTTTCTCAACGAATCTTCGTTTGTGCGTGTACACGACCGGATTTCGTTGCCGCGCATCCGTTGCTGCCACTCTCCATTGTACGTTTGGAGCGTGTTGCTTATGAAACCAGCGGGTGTGCGTTGCGCCGAATTCCTGTTAATGCACATGGATGAATCCCTCGGCCCCTAACGAGTCGAAGGATTCGTGAAGCGTGGCCCTTTCCCGCCACAGTAGGTAGGCGTCAGTTCGTTGGGTGTTTCACGGGCGAGGAAGTATCGAGCTGGTCAAGCGTGGCCCGTCTAGCGAGAGAAACGTAATGGTAGTGGGCTCGATGGGGAGTCATCCTGGGCCACATGTTAAGCTCAGGGCCCTCATAGTTCCTCGCAGAGACCGGAACCCACCTGATCATGATCCAGGAACCTAGGCATTTTGCCAAGGACCCCGTGTGGCTTTGCTGATTTGCATGGTCCGTTCACAACAAATGGTCTGTTCTCGGTGTGGTATTCAGAAATCCGAAATGCACTGGCAAACGCCCGTTCCCTTATTCCTTCTCCGTTGTCTGTTGTTAAAAAATGGTAAAATCTTGATTGCTTGTTCGTGGGTGGTGTTAGTTGCCAATTTGGGATATCTCAATAGGCTCGAATACATCTCCGAATTTGATCTGAGCCTCTTCTTGGTTGTGAAAACATTTGATATTGATGAAGTTGTTTTCACGTTAAGAAACCGTTACGGTCTCCGCTCAGTACCTTCCACTGTCCGTATTGGTCTGACTGACGCGGACGCCTTCCATGGCCACAAGCCAACTGCCCCCAAAAGGGGGGGGGGGTACGCCTTTTACAAACAATATGGACACCAAAAAACGAATCCTCCAGGGCGCGATTTGTTTTTCTACCCAAGCAACACGAAAACAAAAACTAGGGAATTACCGATCTAAATCCGGATCAGGAAAACCAATTCGACTGCGATAATACACGAGTTCCAATGGAATGCTGCCACAGATGATCCCTCACATCAATCCCGTTGAGGCGATTTTATGATTTCCTAGGAAAAACTCTTCCATGATTCATTCGACTGTTTGCGACGACAGATCACACATGCAAGGGTCGGTCACACCACACACACACGCCATCTGTGCAAGCATAGACAGGTTACACCATTGAGCAATGTCTGCCCCGACTTGCACAGTTACCAACAGGAGTGGCTCAATTGACTCTCTCACGAAGATAGAGGAGATCATCACCAAAGACAAGCTTGAAAACGCTGTTGGTCAGTCATGGGCTAAACTGGTCACATCTGATGATTTGACACCCACAATTGAAGGAGTTGATCTCATGGAAGCTGGGAAGGCAGGAAGAAACAATTCGGGCGACCACGTTCTGAGGAGCGGCTAAACACTATCTACATGCGGCCGAGATGAATTTGGTCAGCACTACCAAGTATTTGGAGCTCAACCCGTCCTGTCGAATCCTCGTCATGCGGCAGTGCGTTATATGGTGGAGACAGACTTGCAGAAGGTAGGATCAAAGGAAACGTCAAGGAAAAGGGAGTTGATTCGCTTGGAGGGAGCAAAAGGGAGTTGTATCGTGGCTGACAATGCAAGGGCTTTCAGTGGATGAACGAATGCTGCCTGACCAGTATTGGAAATCAACCGGGCGAACTGACTGCGGCACCAGGTAGCCTCTGCAGTGCGGGTGCATTGTCACCGTGCAAGGAACGGTTGAGCCGAGTCCACTCCCTGGTGTGCACGAAGACCGGCACCTCAACCTTTCTGCACAACAGGATGGTTCGTGTATTATTGAAGACATTTCGCGAGTGCCATTCGTCAATCGCTGTTGTACATTCTCTCCCATTTACCACGGATGCCGGTAAAGGAAAGGGGCTCTACAAGATGAATTTCGTGATCCCCCCAGGAATACACGCAGGAGAAAAAAAAGATGAACTCTGTACCAAGTTCATTCTTGTAGATGTTACTATCGTCAACCCATCTGCGAGTCGAAGCATCGACAAGCCGATCCAAACACCCGGATCTACCCTCCTCGAAGATCGAGCTGTAGGTACGGCAAATCACTATGCGGGAACTTTCAACTCGTCCAGATCTATACCCTCCTTACTGCTGCTTTTTTGCCTTTTGCGGGGGGGCTTTGAACATGGAACAGCCTTCCTTCGCCTGAAGCCTTATTATACCGACAAGATTCGGAGATGGTTTACCTTCGAGCTGGCTCGCTTTCTGTCAGTACGAACTTGTGATGTTTCAAACGTCATGGACGACGCATCGATCAATTTACATCATGGCCAACAGGTTGGGATCTCAGTAGAAGTACAGATAGCGACGTGATGATGGCAGTGAGGGGAATTTATTTGGGAGCGATGATGGAGAAGGAGAGGGAACGGCAGGGCGAGAGAAAGACCAAGACAGCAATCGACGAGAGAATCATGTCGTGGAAGACAGCTTTGAGTCAGATGACCTTCACAACAAACAACGCAAGGCCAGAGAAGAACTGCCGAAAAATTGCTGCAAAGATGATGACGAGACTGATCGTGGTAAAATCAAGGAGGATGGTAGTGAATGCACTCCAAAACGAACTCGAGTGCCAGGCAGAAGCCTTTGTAGACGCGTGCAGCTTTTCTCTGTTGCTACCGTTTCTGTCTTTCATCCGGGGAATTGCTTGGCTTCCCCCGTGCCGCCCCTCCACGGGGTCCCAGGTAACGGCATTTACAAGTGTTGTGTGTTTTCAACCGCACTGAGTCTCTCCTCATGGGTCAACCGGTTAGCGCGGTCGATGCTAATATTAACAAACACACACAAAATCAACACATCAGCAGAAGCCCCAAAGCGTCATGAGGCGCGGTAGGCCATCTCGTTTCATATGCGCCAGCAGAGCCGCAACATGAGCTACAGCGGCTGAGGCGGATTTTTTCTCCCGTAACGCATTTCCATGAAGGCATACTAGATGCTATGCGTATGTGGCCAATACGATAAAAACTCCATAATCATACATTCGTGGATTGAGGGCAGGATTTTTCGTGTCGTAGATCTCAAGTCTAAAGTAGTAGTAGCAATTCTTTGCACAGTAGTGATGTGGATGCAGGGAAACGTCAAACGAGAATTTGGGGCACGGTTGTGTGCAATTAGGGGGCTACATGGTGATATTCAGGTAAAGGACCATCGTGATATACATAGTTCTGTGAATCACTTTGTTTCCAAAAAATGTTGCACTTTCTCAAAGACAACAACAAAATCTGTAGCTGTATCGACGTAGCTCGATGAGGCGATCACGAAACTACCAGATCTAGGTCCATAAAAAAATGTCGCACAAAACGTGGATTTACACCAAAAATTGAACGGATCACAGGGAAATGTTATCTGTCATCCACAGATGTACCTGCTGTATATATTTTTTTCTTGCTAATGGTATGTCGTTCGGAATATGTCCCTGCGAGATAAAGCGCAGAACGAAGCGTGAGAAAACATCATCACTGCCTGAACAAGGTGTGCCGAAGCACCATAAAAAACCGAAGTGACAAAACAAAATATACACCAACGCAACTAGAGTCCAACCACGGGTCGCCCAGAAAGCAAAGACGACATATCGACCTCGAAATCATAAGTCTCCGTTTGGCGAGAGAGTGGGGCTTGATATTCCCAGGGTTTCCACAGGCACACTCGGCAGAATATTCTGTACTCACTTTCCGCCGTGCATGACCTCTTTCTGCCCTGCCCTGTGCGATGTCTCCCTGGACTTGTTATCTTCCTTGTTGCAGAAGCTAGCAATCTGTTCTCTGGGTCTATCACGGGAGTACGTTTTTAAGAATACGGAGGAAGAGGACGTACCCAACACGAAGACAACAACACTGAGCCTCATGGTAAAGTGCACGTTGGGTGCTACAAACCACTGATACGGCGGGCACCCCCGGGCCCCAAGCTTGTTGTCGGCAGCTCCTCATGCAGATCTCAATAAGGGTTGAGCTTACACTTGGCCATAAGAGTGCCGTGATGTTGTTTCGTTTGTCCCATGCCTGAATTCGCGGCGTATTGTGGGTGCACTCATGTTGGGCGTGCCTATACAATCTCTTTGACGAGTAACAGGTGCTGAAATGCGTGCAAGGGCTTCCATCTATGGAGGGGGGGCTAACTTCATCACGAACGTATGCTCGGTGCAAGGTCACAGAAAATATTCTGTGATGTTTCATGGCCAGTTCTCAACCCCCACGCCCCCAGCGGGATAGGGGGTGCCACTTGTCCTATGTCGTCACCACTGTACCCCCGGTCCAGCCCACAAGCATACCCTAAAGTCACTGTGGAGCGCATGCGTCAAACCGAATTCGAGCTCACCGTCCAATCTCGAGAGCTTCAAGAACGGTGAGGGCGATACCCCAGCTGCGAGGAAGTACCATCTAAGCTCCTCGAGGACCACTCCCGTCGGGTTTGTTGACGAGCCGGTGGAGCAAACTGGTCGACGGGTTATCGTTTCTGTCTTCCCGCCAGTCGCACGCCCACCCATTTAGCGTCGCTGAGCCTGCAAAAGAACTGGAAGGAACCACAACCCCCGCCAGACACTCGGATTGGGAAGGCCGAGTATTCCGTATACCTTCCTGAAAAAATACGAAAAACAAGTGGCCACGGTCCAGTTGCCGTAGAGATCATGAGGATGGTGAAGAAGCTTGGAGGATGGAAGCAGAAACTGTGGAAGGGAGACAAGTTTGAGCTGCTGCTGTTTGGGATTCCAAGGGACATGACGAGGATAGATATCAAGAATTGTTGTGACAGGGAGGAACTGC